TCTATAACGTTGATCTATGACTTACTTTGTGTCTGTCATAATCAACGGTAAATCGGGTCTCCCCCGTCATTTTCGGATGTTTTATTGTTCCACTTCGAGTTATTCAGGTCTTACTGTCTCTATTCCTGTTTAAAGTTACGTCAACTATTTACATGTATATTTTTATGTATGTTCCTTTATGTTTACGTAAACTCTTTTGTTTGGACTCACTAGACGTAAGTCTAACCCTCTCTCTTTCTTGTTATAATTACTTTTTAGGTTCCTTTAACGGTGGGGCTCTAAATGGTTGAGAGGAGCGTTGGTTCGTGAAAGGCTCTTTTGTAGATATTAGCCTTGTTACTTTTGAACGTTGCGTTTTCTATGTTACGGCTTTTTTGGAGATTGATAGAAATATATGTCCTTAATCTAGAAAAATCTAGATTAGTAGGTTGTTATTTATCTTCTCAGTAGCGGAATTGTAAACGCTATACTATAGTTTTGTTGGGTGAAATTTGTTTTTATCTCAGATTCTGGTTCTCGTTAGATATTTTCGGTTTAGACTATCTTTTTTTAGGGTGTTACACATCATCCCTAGGGATGGCATCTACAACCTTAGCTAGAGCAGCTTTGGTGGTAGAGATTACAGGAGCAGCGATTGCTTCAGCTCTAGGAGCCTTAGCCTCAATTGCCACTGAAGCTGATACTGGACCAACAGCCTGAGAAGCTGTAGGAGCAGTATCTGATGATTCACCAGCGTTGGACCTCATCTCCCCCTCTTGGCCAAGACTTGGGAGACTTTGCCAGAGAGTTCGTCCAAGCGTTGACACTGGACAATCATTGAATCCTCCAGCCTTTGCAAAGCATTGGCTAGAGTTGTCGTTCCCTCACGCATTTCATGGAGTTAGGCACGATCATCGGTATAGAAAGAAGGAGCAGTCACTGGAGCTGGTTGACGGACAGCATCCAGGATTTGTTGAAGAAGACCAGTTTGTTGTTCAGCTATAGCTTGAGCATCGTCAGCCCTACTATGAAGAACAGCAAGGGCGTCGTTCTTGATTTGAACAACTTCTTGGATAGTCTGGAGCTGACTTTAAACTTCTTGAACATCCGCCTGGAGGGCAAGGAAGTTCGCATCAAGATCACCCTAGCGGGGCATCTCTTGGTGAACTTCGTTGACCCTGGAGAGGACAGTATCAACGGCTGGAAGGAGAAGCTTGATATCTGATGACATATCATAATCATCATCAATTTCTTCATCTCCTCCATCATCTTTCTCTCTTTCTCCAGCATCTCCTCCACCCTCTGTCTCTCTTTCTCCAGCATTAGCTTGATGCAGCAAGGAAGGATCTGCAAAAGAAGAGAGGTGAGCTGAAGCTCAAG